CCCCCTGAAGACAAGAGCCAGCGGATTTTACCCCTTCAGGCCTTTATTTTGATAAAATTGGTCAAGCCCACATAAGGCAACGCACACACGGCTCCGCCCGCCCCCCGCCCGCCCCAACCGCCTCGGAAAATAAATAACACAAACCAAGAGAGGACTCCATGTAGTGTTTGGCTCTGCAGTATAGAAATTCCACACAATGATTCTGTTGTGTTGCTGTTTTTTTTTTGTTTTGTTTTGTTGTTTTTTTTTTTCCCTGTTTAAAAAGGTAAAAATGATTTATAATACACAGTCAGAATGTCGTGGTGCCCGCATAGAAAACCGACATGCAATCCATGCCTACACTGCGCCGTATAAATAAGATGCAACTCAAAATACAAAGAACAGGAACACTACAAAGTTTAATCCTAAGAGGGAAGGAGGTTTTTTTGGGTGTTTTTTCTTTTTCCTGGTTGTTTTTTAAAAAGGACAGACACACGTAACAAAGGCTACCTGCGCTTTCACATTGCCATCACAGTGACGGGGGGGCCGTTGCTCCGAGGAATAAACGCGCTGGTTTTGGGGTTTCTCCCGAAAAAAACAGCCAAGGTCGGGGTCTGCGGGGGAGGAGGGGCCTTCCTGCTGCCTTCCTGTCCAGAGGGGGTTTCCAGGCTCTTTCCTTGAGGGAATTAACCAAATTAAGCTCGAGCCTTAATTGTTGTTTTGGCAGAAATCCGAGGTTTTAGGCCCAAGGGTTCGTTTTTGAGGGAAATTTAGGTAAACTGCTTTTAGATAAACTCAGGGCAGCTTTTGCTCTTGGAATCGTGGAATTGAGGTTGGGACAGAGCCACTGAATCAGGGTTGGAAAGGAATCACTGGATTAAATCTGGAAAGGAACCTGAATCAAGTTTGGAAAAGAACCTGACTCAAGTTTGGAGAAGAATCACCAAATTAGGGTTGGAAAAGAGCGACCGAATCAAGGTGGGAGAAGGAAAACCAAATCAAGGTTGGAAAAGAATTCTGGGATCAAGGTTGGGAAGGAACGACCAAATCAGGGCTGGAAAGGACCTCCAGGACCATCAAACCCAACCTCCCTCTGAGCTGAAGGTTCACCACGAGCTCTCCTGACACAAATTCACCAAATAACCCACGTTCCCTCCCCGGGGCTGCAGAACGCCCGACGGCTCCCGGGGCGGTTCCGGCCCTTCTGGGCAGGTTTTCCCCTCTGGGAAAGGAGGAGTCGGGGGCAGAGCCAGCCCGGCCGTTCGGGGGCACAGGGGGGCTGCCAAGCGCTCCCTGCCATGCACAAGCCGTGGGAGCCCGGGGGGACGGGGTCTATGTACAGGGACAGGAGCCTCCCCCGGCCCCAGCGCCAGGGCCGGGCCGGCTGCTGGGAAGGAATCACAGTTTTGGATGCACCGAGGGTTTATTCCTGCTCTTCCCCATTGTATTGGCAAATGCAACAGTCTAGCTTGGGAACTGGGGGGAATTCCTTATGGAGATAGAAAAACACGGAGGGAGGGGGGTCAGGAGGGAGGGTGGGACAGTCACCCCTGGAGACACCGGACAGCTCCACCACCACTGCAATCAAACTCAGCAATTACAGCAATTAACACCATTTCCTCCTTGATTTTTTTGTTTTTTCCTAAGTGATGGTTTTCCCTTTCTGCTCCCACCCGTGGGGAGGCAGCCCCAGACGCTGGAATGAGCACAGGGCTGTCACATTTGGAATAAAAGCAGATTATTTGTTCTGGGAAAGCTCGGGATCCGCTCCACGCTTCTCTCTGGGTTTGCTCCCACATCAGCCTGATGCCACAAAACTGGGATTTGAAGGAGTGAGAGAAAGGGGGAATCCTCTGGGGCAGCTCCCACGGGAAAGGGTCCCCTGGGGGAAGGGAAAGGCAGGAGCTGCAGGAGCCCCTGGATCTCACAGGGGCGGGAGGAGAGGCAGCTTCTCCCTGGCCACGGCTGGAGCCCGTCCTGTCACGCCAGCACTCCCTGGGACATCCCTGCTCCTTCCCCAGGCACCAAACCCGGACCTCTCCCGGCTGGAGGCTCCCTCACTGCGACAGTCGCATCCAAGGTGTGTTAGTTTGAAGTTAAGGCGATTTTCAAGGTCTACTTACAAGTCTAAGAAACAAAGAGCTCTTATTTACACACGGAGTTAAAAAACCGGGCAGGAGCTGGAGCTGCAGTTCCCTGCCCGAGCCTCCCTCCCGTGAGGAACCCCAGCTCCTGCAGGACTGAACCCCAGCTCCTGCAGGACTGAACCCCAGCTCCTGAACCCCAGCTCCTGCAGGACTGAACCCCAGCTCCAGGACCCCAGCTCCTGCAGGACTGAACCCCAGCTCCTGCAGGAATGAACCCCAGCTCCTGCAGGACTGAACCCCAGATCCTGCAGGACTGAACCCCAGCTCCTGCAGGACTGAACCCCAGCTCCTGAACCCCAGCTCCTGCAGGACTGAACCCCAGCTCCTGCAGGACTGAACCCCAGCTCCTGAACCCCAGCTCCTGCAGGACTGAACCCCAGCTCCTGCAGGACTGAACCCCAGCTCCAGGACCCCAGCTCCTGCAGGACTGAACCCCAGATCCTGCAGGACTGAACCCCAGCTCCAGGACCCCAGCTCCTGCAGGACTGAACCCCAGATCCTGCAGGACTGAACCCCAGCTCCAGGACCCCAGCTCCTGCAGGACTGAACCCCAGCTCCCGAACCCCATCTCTGCTGCACTGAACCCCAGCTCCTGAACCCCAGCTCTGCTGCACTGAACCCCAGCTCCAGGACCCCATCTCTGCTGCACTGAACCCCAGCTCCTGAACCCCAGCTCTGCTGCACTGAACCCCAGCTCTGCCGGTGCCTCCCCTGCAGTGACCCTGCAGTTCCAAACACAGCACACACAAGGACTGCACACGCACGGAGTCGTTCCAGCAGGAGACAAACACAATTCCCACACGGAGCTGCACAAAGCTCTCACTGCACCTTCAGCAAGGGGCTCTGAGTCACCTGGGCCCAAATTCCTCCTGGTTTTCTCCAGGTTTCCTCCTGTCTGAGCTGCCTTTTATCTCCTCCTTAAACTGGAAAAGCGGGAGGGATCGGAAAGGAGTCCTACCGAGCTCAAACCCTGCCAAAAAATCCCAAAACATTCCCAAGAGATGCAGGGAAACCTCTGGAAGGCGTGGAGAAGGATCAAATTAAAACAAAACAAAACAAAACAACAAAGAAATAAAAAAGACACAGGGAAGCCAAGAAAAAATTCCACATTTTTAGTGCAAATGGTCAACAAATGGCACAGAAGGTGAGGGGACGCCCAGGGCTGGGGAGATCCTGACCCTGACCCAGCAGAGCAGGCAGGAACCTCAGCAGGGCAGCCCAGGATTTCTGGAAGCACACAGAAACTTGGATAACTCATTAGGAGCACTCAGGAGAGCAGAGAGGAGTCGTTAATTGCAGGGGACTCTCATTAATTGCGGGGGAACTCGTTAAGAGCAGCCCAGGCCGTTCCCAAAGAGGAGAAGCTTTGGGGTTGGGGTTGGGAATTCCCTGGGCTGGGGCAGAGAGAAAATCCAGGGGGGCAGGAGGAGTGAACAAACCCCAGCTGGGAATGGGAGCTGGGATTTAGGGATGGAATCCACGGGGCTGCTCCCAGCCCAGGCTGGAGGCGCCTCCCTCCGGGTCAGCTAATTAGCTAATCAGTTAATGACTCCAAATCCTGTTAATTCCCGATGAATTCCTGCCCTTCCCCAGTGGAATGAGGATATTCCAGCAGTGCCCTCTAATTCCATTCGTTCCCACAAATCTGGGAATCACCTTCCCTCCAGCCGGAGTGAAATCCCCAATTCCGACCCTGGGGAATCTGGATGGGATGTTTTTTTTTTTAATTTGCAGCACAAAATATTCACAAGGACCATCGGAAATAATTATTTCTCCATTTAATTAAACAGAATTTTGGAGGATTTAATCCTGGTCATTGTGGAGCAAGAGATTTTTTTTCCCCCGGGTGAATGAAGGAATTTTTAAGTTCCAACCACCCTATTTTGCCTTTTCCAAAGGAAAATATCTAAACTTGCCTTAGGCTTCCTTATTCCTGCTTAACATCTGTTTAAAATTCCAGTTAGTTTAAAAATACCTACATATATAATATATATAATATATTTCTGGAATAAAACCACAAAAAAAAATGTACTGTACAAATATTATGTAGAGTGCTTCCATTGGCTGTATGTAGTTGAGCTACTTTCCTAATATCCAAATATTTAAATAAAATTTAAAAAAAAGAAATGACAACAACAACAACCAAAAAAAAATCATAAATAAGTAACAGAATAAGTAATGAATAAGAATAAAAAATTAAAAAATCATGATTCTACGAGCCTGGCATTGCTATGGAAATGCCCTTCCTGTTGCCCAGGAATCTCTCACAAAGTAAAAATTAGGATTATGCAGGTTAGTCTCTATCTTTTTTTAGCTGCTTTAAGATATTCTGATCCTCTGTCTAATCAAGTAATGAATTATAGAACTTTCATGTGTGCTCAGAAATGCTCTCTATATATGCAGCCATATATAGAAATATATATATATTACATATACATTTAAAAAAACAAAAAACAAAACAAAACCATAGAAAGCTTGGAACCAATAGTGTTTGAAGTGGGTCTGTGGGCCTGGCGGCTCCGCCTGGCCGGGACTGCTGGGGCAGGAGGGAGGGACGAGAGGGTGGGGACACACCTGGGGCCAGGCAGGGCTGGCAGTGTCACCAGCAGAGCGCCGGGACGGTGGCACTGCGGGGATTGGCTTCCCAAGGGGGCAGGGCCGCTCCAGCCCCGCAGCCCTGGCCCTGCTCCGCTGCCCGGAGCCCCTCTGGGGCGCACAGGGACTGGGGCAGGGGGGCTGTGCGGGGGAAAACCGATGGCAAACCGGGATAAACCACTGGGACAAACTGGGAAAACCAATGGCAAACCGGGATGAACCACCGGGACAAACCAGATAAACCACCGGGACAAACCGGGATAAACCGGGATAAACCGCCGGGATAAACCACCGGGACAAACTGGATAAACCACCGGGATAAACCACCGGGACAAACTGGGATAAACCACCAGGATGAACCACCGGGACAAACCGGATAAACCACCGGGACAAACCGGGATAAACCACCAGGACAAACCGGGATAAACCACCGGGACAAACCGGACAATCCTGACTGCTGGACGGCAACGAGCGGCTCGGGGGGCACGGCTGGGACTGGCTGGGCAGCGCGGCAAGCTCAGAACAACAAGCTGGGGACCCATGGGACAGGGACACGGAGAGCTGCTCCCTCCAGGATGGACCCTGGGCTGGGATGGAGCCCCTGGGGCGGATGGACCCTCGGGGTGGGATGGAGCCCCCAGGGTGGGATGGAGACCCAGGGTTGGGATGCAGCCCCCGGGGTGGGATGGAGCCTCCAGGATGGACCCTGGGCTGGGATGGAGCTTCCAGGGTGGGATGCAGCCCCCAGGATGGTGGCTCCGGGGCGGGATGAAGCCCCCAGGATGGATAAAGCCCCAGGATGGTGGCTCCAGGTTGGGATGCAGCCCCCAGGATGGATAAAGCCCCAGGATGGTGGCTCCGGGGCGGGATGAAGCCCCCAGGGTGGGTGAAGCCCCCATGTGGTGGCTCCAGGTTGGGATGCAGCCCCCAGGGTGGGTGAAGCCCCCATGTGGTGGCTCCAGGTTGGGATGCAGCCCCCAGGGTGGGTGAAGCCCCCATGTGGTGCCTCCCCGGGTCACAGCCGGTCCATGCGGAACGTGTCCTCTGTGGCGGGGTCGGTGAGGACCATGTCGGGGTCGTTGAGCATGTGAAGTCCATCCAGGGTCAAAGGGTCAATTTTGAGTTCATCCAGAGGGAACTGGGAATCCGTGTCGAAGCTGACGTCCCCCACTCCTGCCAAGGAGCTGGTCAGTTCTTTTGATAAGCTGGGGGGGGATTCTCCTGTCACTGCAGGGACAAAACACACAGGGGTCAGACACCAGCGTGGCAGCCAGGAAACAGCTCCCAAACCCTGGAAATGGTTATGGAGCTCTCAGATGAGGAACACCCACCCTCCTTCAGATTTCAGATTCCTCACAGCACCTCCAAGGCACCAAACGCAACCCAAAATTCGTGCTTGGTGTGACTGGAGCCTTTCCTCTCCCTCAGCTTTAGGAAGAATAACCTCAATTCCACCGTTCCCATCAGCAATCCCCGGGCAGGGATCGTTTCCAAAATCCCACTGAGACCAGATTGGCCACCATATGTGACTCTCCAACCCTCTGCTGGCCAGCTGGGGCTGAGCAGGCAGAGCTTGGCTCCCACAGCTTTTCCTCACCCTAGCACAGGACCCAGGGAATTCAGGAGGATAAATGCACAGCAAAACTGGTGCTCTAGGTGCTCTACCTGTGTGCAGGTGAGCACTGGGACACACACCTGGACTCGGGCTGGGAATGGCTGAAGGAAGGAGACATTGGCTGCAATGCTCAGAAGACAAGAAGATTTATTAGGAACTCTGCATATTTACAGACAAGATTGTTCACTCAGAACCTGACTGGTCCTTGAACAACACCCCTCACACCTTTGGCTAAGCAGGAACAACACCTTCTTGTAAACACCTTTCCATAAACACCACGTACAAACATTCCACGTGTTCACAAACACCAGGGGCAGAGATTGAGGTAAAAACTGTTTTAATTCTTTCTCTGACCATTCTCACAACTTCCCTAGGATGCAGTTACCTGTTTCTGTCAGCAGCCACACTGGACTGGCACCACAGCCCAGGTGAAACAAAGCCCTCAACAGCAACAACCCCCAGGCTGAGACCACGGAATGATGAACTGTCCTGAGCTGGAGGGACCCCCAGGGATCACGGATCCAGCTCCAGGCCCTGCACAGACACCCCAAAACCCCAGGCTGTCCCTGAGCACTGCCCAAACCTCCTGGAGCTGGGGCAGGGTTGGGCCATGCCCTGAGGAGCTGCTCAATACGGTACTTGCAGGGACCTGTAAAGAGTTTGTTATTTTGCCTTTTAATAAAAATATTTTTGTTTCTAATACTGCAACAGAAGCTATTTTGTTGATTTTATGCCTTGTAAGGTAGCTGAGCTATTTGGGTGTGAAATAACCTGTAAGAGCTGATGAGAGCTGGCTGGAGGAGGCTCCAATTTCACAGAGTCAGATCCATCACTCCTCCCTACAACAGGAGGATAAAACCCCACAGAGCCCACAGCAGGGCAGCTCCCAGGGTGGATTTTTACCTGTCAGGATGATGTTGGGGATGTTGCTGTGGCTTTGTAAGGTAGCTGAGCTATTAGGGTGTAAAATAACCTCTAAGAGCTGAAATAAACCTATGAGAGACGGCTGGAGGAGGGTCCCATTTCACACAGAGTCAGCTCCACCATTCCATCAGGACAAAACCCCACAGCACCCACGGCAGGCTGCTCCCAGGGTGGATTTACCTGTCAGGATGATGCTGGGGAGGACAAAACCCCACAGCACCCACGGCAGGCTGCCCCCAGGGTGGATTTACCTGTCAGGATGATGCTGGGGAGGACAAAACCCCACAGCACCCACGGCAGGCTGCCCCCACGATGGATTTACCTGTCAGGATGATGCTGGGGAGGACAAAACCCCACAGCACCCACGGCAGGCTGCCCCCACGATGGATTTACCTGTCAGGATGATGCTGGGGAGGACAAAACCCCACAGCACCCACGGCAGGCTGCCCCCATGATGGATTTACCTGTCAGGATGATGTTGGGGATGTTGCTGTGGCTGGAGTAGTTGAGCTGCTGCGAGTCCTGCAGGCTGCCGTGGCTGCCCGTCAGTCCCATCATGGCAGCCTGCGAGTAGTTGAGGGTGGAGCAGGGGCTGTACAGGCTGTTGGAGCTGATGGCGTTCTCGATCATGTTGAACTGCTCCAGCTGCAGGGGGACACACAAAGGGTGAACAGCCAGCCTGGCACGGGCAGGGGACAAGGACACGGCTCCAGGACAACACAGACAGGCAAACAAATTCATCTTCCCTTGCTCCAAACGGGGCCCTGGGCCCTGAGCTGCGCGGGACAGACCCTGCCCAACTCGGGAGGGGGGCACGAGCCAAACTGGGGAGGGGGACAGAGAAAAGGGAGGGTGGGAGGGGAAAAAAGGGAAATGAAGGGAATTCAGGCTCATCCTCAGGTCTCTGCCCAGCAGAATTCCCTCCAAGACTCATCTCAGTTTAAGTAATTAATAATTTAATTAATTCAATCCATCCGCTGGTGGAAGATTGAAAGGGAAATAAAGGGATGAATTCTCCCTGAGGTCTCTGCCCAGCAGAATTCCCTCCAGGACACACCCCAGTTTAAGTATTCCGTAATTTAATTAATTTAATCCCAGAATTAAATTCAATAATTTAATCCATCCATGCTCTGCTGGAGGGTGGAGAGGGAAGTTAAGGGATGAATTCGCCCTGAGGTCTCTGCCCAGCAGAATTCCTTTTTCCAAGCTGATTTTCACTGCTTTAACATTTTTGTTTCACTATTTTCCCTTTTCAAAGCTGCCTGGCATTATTTTAATCTTTAAATGCTTTATTATTATTATATATATATATTTAATTGATCTCCTATTCTAAAAGCTTCATTATTATACATTTTTTACATTGATACCCCATTTAAAAAGCTTGATTATTATATACATATTTTAATTTATCTCCCATTTTAAAAGCTTGATTATTATATATATTTTAATTGATCTCCCATTATTATATGTATTTTTACTTGATCTCTCATTTTAAAAGCTTCAATATCTATTTTTTAATTGACCTCTCATTTTCAAAGCCTCATTATTATATATATTTTTAAATTGATATCTCATTTTAAAAGCCTCATTATTATAAAATTTTAATTGATCTCCCATTCTAAAAGCTTCATTATTATCTATTTTTTAATTGATCTCCCATTTTCAAAGCTTGATTATTATATATTTTTTAAACTGATCTCCCATTTAAAAAGCCTCATTATTATACTTTTTTTTAGTTGATCTCCCATCTTAAAAGCTTGATTATTATATATATTTTTAATTGATCTCCCATTCAAAAACCCTCATTATTATATATTTTTATTGATCTCCCATTTTTTGGCAGAACACCTGCGTGGGATGGGGAGGACAAAGAGAGGGGAGGGAGGAAGGGAAACCAAACAAAACAAGAAACGAACAAAAAGCAGGAGAACTCTACATGGACAGAACGGGGACTGACTGACGTAAATTAACCAGGCGTTAATTGGGGTTAATTTGAGGCGGGAGGGGCCGAGGAGGCCCGAGATGAATTTGCTCACCTGGTGGGAGAGGGCATTAGCCTGCCTAGCTGTCATCTGCTGCTCATAATAGGAGTCCCCAAAAACACTGCCCAGCATGGAAGAATGCTGAAAACAAAACAGAGCTTCATGGTGCAAAACCCCCACTGCCCCCGGCGCGCCGGGAAAAGCGGGAATGCCGCTTAGACGGGAATGCTGAAAACCTGGGAATGCTGAAAACCTGGGGATTCTGAGAAACCTGGGAATGCTGAAAACCTGGGAATGCTGAAAATGTGGGAATGCCGGGAGTAAACGGGAATGCTCAGAGACCTGGGAATGCCGGGAATAAACGGGAATGCTGAGAAAAACAGGAATGCTGAAAACCTGGGAATGCTGAAAATCTGGGGATTCTGAGAAACCCAGGAATGCTGAAAATCTGGGAATGCCGGAAAATACGGGAATCCTCAGAAAAACAGGAATGCTGAAAACCTGGGAATGCTGAAAATCTGGGGATTCTGAGAAAAACGGGAATGCTGAAAACCTGGGAATGCTGAAAATCTGGGAATGCTGAGAAATCTGGGGATGCTGAGAAACCTGGGGATTCCGAGAAATCTGGGGATTCTGAGAAACCTGGGAATGCTGAGAAACCTGGGGATTCTGAGAAATCTGGGTATGCTGGGAAAAATGGGAATTCTGAGAAATCTGGGAATCCTGAGAAAAACAGGAATGCTGAGAAAAACGGGAATGCTGAGAAACCTGGGAGTTCTGAGAAATCTGGGACTCCAGAGAAATCTGGGAATTCCAGAGAAATCCAGGAATTCCGGAGAAATCCGCACGGAGCAGGCGGGAACCATCCGGGGCCCTCCCGGGGCCCTCACGGCCCAGGGGATCCCACAGGATCCCCAGGGAGCAGGAGGAAATCCCTCAGGACCACAAAGATCCCTCAGGACCCTCACGGAGCAGGCATGTCCAGTCCCTCACTTATTCTCCATCATTTACCAATTATTCCAAAGGTGACCAAGAATCTGAGGTCCATGTTTTAATCCTGATCAAAAATGCCAGATAAAAATCAGCACCACTACTCCTGATTTTAAATTCTAAATTCTGATATTCCAGCTGAAAATAAAAACCATTAACTGACAAAGAGAACACCTCTAAAAGACAACTTCCATGGAGTGGTTGTCTCAGTCTTGGAAAACAAAATTCAGTTGCTGGTTTATCCAGATGGCAAAAGCAGAAGGCCACAGATTTCCTTCTTAAAAACTTAAGCATGGGAAATTCAGGAAAAGCTTAGGAAGAATCAGAACAGGCACGGATTTTAGACCCTCAAAAAAACCACCTTGTATAAAAAAATTATTCAAAAATCACCTGAATTGCCCCTTCCATGAGGGGAAAAAAAAAGCACCAAGATATTCCTCAAAAACCTCCCCACTTCCAGGCAGACCCCAGGGCTGTCACATCCCAGGGTGGAAACTTTTCCAATTTATCACCAATTTACCAACACTCCAGAGCTGCTGGATCCCGGGACAAAGGGATCAAACACCAGGAGGGATCAAACACCACAAGAGCCATTGCTAAGATGCTGACAGGAGAAAAGCAAAGCACCACTTAAAGTAAATTTGGGGGTTTTAACCAACCTAAATGCAGTCCAACCTATGGTTCATAACCATTTCCAAGGAAAATGTGAATTTTGGGATGGCACAGACTTGACAGGAAGCAAAACCAACATCAAAATCCAAAGGACATTTGAGAGCTCCAAAGAGGATCAAGGTATTTTGTGCCTTTCACTCCTGTGGTTTCACTCCACAGAAGGGGAATGAGAGGACAATTCCCAACATGAGGACAATCCCTAAAATCTTTGCGCTTCACCAAGCACCGTTTCCATCCCAAAAACCTCTGGGGAGCATGAGAAGAAACCAGGAGGAGAGCAGGATGTGCTTGTGCAAGTCCAGGTCAGAGCCTCCCACCCAGCCCAGCCTGGGTTTGCCCCTCCTGTGACGTGTGCTGGTTCCTACAGCTGCAAGCGCGGAAATTCCCAAGGGAAACCCAAAATCCCCACTGGAAATGCCATTCCTTCAACACCTCAGAGCCTCAGGATCATTTACAACAACTGCAGGAAGGCCACTGTGCAAACAGCATCTCCAGAGGCACCGCAGAGTCACCAGAGCACCCTCTGGGGTCCATGAGTGACTGTGAGGAAACACCAACCCAAGCCCTGGCTGGGATGTTCCATCTCCACATCTCCAATACCTACCCGTTCTGCAGGTCAGAGGCACTAGAGCAGCAGAGTTTGTGTCTGACTGGAACAGGATGAGGGGAGAGCAGGGGAGCAGAGCCCAGCACCGGGGTGGAAGCCATGCAAACACAGAGCTGGGGCAGGCAGAGCCCTCCCGTCCCCGCGGGCACTGGGAGCACTGGGAGCACTGGTGGGACACACACACACGGCTGGCACAGCGGAGCAGGGGCTGGGCAGAGCCGGGAGCGTGGAGGGGAACCCGTGGCACACAAATCAAGGCCCACAGAGGGTTCGTGGGTCAGGGAACGTCCTTTGGCATCGGGGAGGAAGAGGAGCACGTGGAGGCACTCAGCAGCGCCCGGTGCTCCACAGGGGATGCTCTGCCTTCACTCTGGGCAGACTGAGGGGTTCTGCTGCCTGCAGCTGCCCCATCTCCACACCCAACCCCATTTCCCCTCCAAACTGGTTTCCTCCTCTCCACGTTTCATGTCTGTGACCACCGCCAGCTTTGGGGCATTCCTGGAGGCACCAAATCCACCTCAGTTTTAATTTAGCAAAACTAAAGAATTCTGGGGGTAATTAAGAGGCCAAAACTACAGAGAGCAGAATTAATAAATCCTCTGCCTTTGCTCAAGAGTCGTGGTGTCCCTGTCAAACAGAGCAAAACCTGTGGAAGTTTTTACAGAATAAAACCAGCAGGAAAATCACAGCCCAGTGTGTGCTCTGTTGGCACTGACCAGAGGGACAAAACCAAGCCAGAGTGATTGAGAAACCAAAGGGGAAAATAAATCAACATAAACCCCAAACGTGGATGCGCTGTCCAGTGAGAACTGAGTGTGCAGCATGCTCTGCTCTGGGGACAGTGCTGGTTTCTGGAGACACACAGAACTCACAGCAGCAGGCAGAGAGAGAGGTTAAGAAGCACTTGAGGCAGGGTTAAGGAAATGCAGACAATTCCTGCCACTCGGATCCAGGGCTGAGCTTACCATCACCTGGCTAATGAAGGAGACCTGGAGCTTCTGCCTGGCAACCATGAAGGGGCAGCACTTATTTAGAAAGGATCCTCCTTACAGCCTTCACCGTTCAGTGATGAAACAGAAAATGGATTTTCAGACTCTTGTGATGCTCTGGAAGAATTCCCTGCACTTCTTTTCTCCAGGTGGGATTGTCCAGAGCAGCCAGCTGGGGCTCTTTCAGCAGCATCAGGCACTGAAAATGCACTTTCTTACACTGGGGCACCTTCAGATTTTGCCTGGGTTTAATTTCTTGCTGCTGGCAGGTAAAAATCTCCCCTTCAGAGGATCACACACTCCCCCAAGCTGTGATTTCCATCCAGGCCATGTGGATGTGTGAGGAGATACAGGCAGAGCAAGGAGAAGCAGCTGGCATGCAAGGGAGTGTGCTGGGAACCCAATCCCTGCCAGCCACAAGCTGCTCATTTTAAGAGCATTTTCTCCAGTGTTTTCTCTCACTGGGTGTGTTCTCACATAAAAAAGATCCTGATCTAAGTCAGTTTGGGATATTTAGTGTAAATATTTAATATTTAGTGCCCAGGTTTTTTCCTGCTGCAGGAGGCACTGGAATTGCCCCTTTGCTGCCCTCCCATCAGCTGCCCTGGCACCCTGGCCATTGAAAGGGCTCTACCTGGAGGTTCTGCCCCCACACAAACACCACCCCAGTGCTCCACCAGCAGCCTGGTCCTGCGGCTCTCTGCTCACTGCAAAAGGCAACTCAGCAGCTCCTGGAGCCCTGTGGGAGTGGGGATGGAGGGCGTCGGTGATGCATGAGGCACACACGGAGCACAGTGAGACAACTATGGGGCAGTGATGGAGAAATCCAGCTCAAACACACACGAGAAGCAAGGCCTGTGGAAGCACAGAGTCCCTTACTTGAGGGGAGCTGCCAGGAGAGAAGCCTTGATTGGAGACAGGAGAGGTGGGAGACTGGTTGGCCGGGGAGCCAGCATTACTGCGGTACTGCTGGAGTGAGGCCTACAGAACAACACACAGTTAAACTCTGCATCGGGGAGCCTGCAAACACCCACACCTGCTGGGGAAACCACCCTCCTCGGCCCTGGGGGGGAAAACAGGGCTGTGTGAACGAGGTCCCCACACTGGGGACAGCTCTGGGACAGCTCTGGCACGGCTGGGAGCATTTCCTGCCTGTCTCACTCCTGCTCGCTTCAAAATGTATTCAAAAAATCAGGGCAGCCAAGGATTTAGGGCAAAGAAGTCTTGGGAGCTGGGAATAATTCAAAAGGGACGTCGCTCATGCTTCAGCAGCACGGCAGCCCCACGTGCGTGCTCACTGGGGGCTGCCCTGCCTCCAGCTGTGCTATCAGCACAGGGCAGGTGAGAACACCTGGCTGATAAACCTGAGCCCCAAACTCCCCTGCACCCCAGCACAGGGAGCAGGCACCCCCAGGAATTCACACTGTGTTCTGCAGCCTTTAGCTGGGCTTTTTATACTCTTCTCAGCTGTCCTGAGAAGTTATTTTCCAGGATTTATTCCCATCATAAAGAACCCTGGTTTGGAACAAATTAATATTATTAATGGGATTTAAATAATGCTGCACTAATTAACATTAAGAGTAGCCCAGCTCTTCTTATTTTATCTCCGTTAGAATTTAAGGGATGACTGAGGAGAACCTGCAATCCAGTGAATTTAACCAGATTTGCAGTGTGGGAGAACACTGCAGTGCCATTTTCTGACCCCAAATTCTGTAAATCCCAAGAAAATGTCTCTTTTTGCTCTGCATTGCCACTTACAACCTGTCAGAAGGTTGTACAAACTACAAATACATTTCAATTCTGCTTTACAAAACCTGTGCAGAAGTTGCCAGCGAGGCTGTGACAGCTCCAAAGGCTTTTTGATTAAGTGGCTTTAAATCTGTTTATTTAGGAATTACTTGAGTTGCTTTAGAAGATAAACACAGCAGCCTAAAAGTTCAGGTCATAAAGAGGTTTAGGATGAGGAAAGCAACACAGAAAGCAAAGGATGAGATCAGAATTGTCTGTACTGGTGCTGGATGAGGATTAGAGTCAAACAGGGACAGGTTTTGAGTGGGGTGGGATCCCCTCCACGGCTGGATTGCCCTTCCCTGCTCCCCTCCCCAGCGTGGCAGGGAAGCAGCTGCTCTCAAGGAGCGCCAACTGCTGAAACTTCCACCCACAACCGAGTGCAGGCCAGCAGGATGGATTTGTTTCACTGCCAAAGCCATCCCTGTCCCTCCAGCACTGCCAGGACACCCCGGGTGGGACCCCCAGGACTGGGGAGCTGGGACCTCCCTCCTTTCCTGGCCTCTGATTCCTGACCTGGGATTTTCAGCTGCTGACACAGAACATTTCCTGACAGGCCACCTCAGAACAAGCAGGAAAAGGGATCTGTCCAGAAATCCCTGCTCCAATTCTTCAGGGCACTGGAGGCAGCCACAAATCCCATTTTGGAATAAAATCCCTCCAAATAAAAGGGCTCTAAGTAGTGAAACTGCAGAGAATACCTGGTTCTAGACAACTTTTGGAAAGTAAATTTTCCAGCTGGTATTTCATTGGGAAATGGTTGTTGTGGTTGGACTCTCTCTCAAAGCTCTGGGAGCTCCCCCAGTGTGTATCCTGATGTGTTGGGGGACACTGAACACCCTGACAATCCCTCAGTAAAGGCTGATAGGTTTAGGCTGGGTCTAATCAAACTTGGCACAAAAATTTCTTCTAGAAAACACTTAAAGGTTCATTTAACCAAAACCATTTGCTGTTTACCCCAGCCTCCCTCACACCCTCATGCCCAGGGGTTGTCCAAACTGATTCCCAGCCCACAGTGCCCATGCCAGCCCACAGTGGGCACTCCCAGCCCACAGCGCCCATTCCCAGCCCACAGTGCCCATGCCAGCCCACAGTGCCCATGCCAGCCCACAGTGCCCATGCCAGCCCACAGTGGGCACTCCCAGCCCACAGCGCCCATTCCCAGCCCACGGGGGGCACTCCCAGCCCACAGCGCCCATTCCCAGCCCACAGTGCCCATCCCAGCCCACAGCGCCCATGCCAGCCCCTGGCAGGGCCAGCCCACAGTGCCCATCCCAGCCCACAGTGCCCATCCCAGCCCACAGTGCCCATGCCAGCCCACAGTGGGCACTCCCAGCCCACAGTGCCCATCCCAGCCCACAGTGCCCATGCCAGCCCACAGCGCCCATCCCAGCCCACAGCGCCCATGCCAGCCCCTGGCAGGGCCAGCCCACGGGGGGCACTCCCAGCCCACAGTGCCCATGCCAGCCCACAGTGGGCACTCCCAGCCCACAGCGCCCATTCCCAGCCCACGGGGGGCACTCCCAGCCCACAGCGCCCATTCCCAGCCCACAGTGCCCATCCCAGCCCACAGCGCCCATGCCAGCCCCTGGCAGGGCCAGCCCACAGCGCCCATTCCCAGCCCACAGCGCCCATGCCAGCCCCTGGCAGGGCCAGCCCACGGGGGGCACTCCCAGCCCCTGGCAGGCCCAGCCCCTGGCAGACTCACCGAGTTGATGTCGATGCCCATGGAGGGCTGGCTCTGGCTGCCCGGGGGGGACTGGGGGAGGCTGGAGGGTACCGTGACAGACAGGGGGGGCAGCTGGGGGCCCCTCTGCAGCCCCGAGCTCTGCAGCAGGGGCGGGGGCTGGGGCAGGGAGCTGGCCACCGCCGGCTGCTGCTGCTGCTGGGAGCTGGGCTGGGTGAAGAAGGGGTACGGGGGCAGCTGCTGCTCCAGGGACAGGGCATCCATGGCCACGGCCTGCAAAACAAGGAGCAGCGTCAGCCCCCGGGCAGGGAGGGCTCCTCACACCAACAAATGGAGTCAGGCGTGGTTTGTGCGGTAGAAACGGCACCTAAAGGTTCAGAGAGTCGAGAAGCTGCTCTGAGATATTGCTGGCCCTGGCAGGGGGGATTGGATGAGGTTTAAGGGTCCCTCCAAGCCAAACCATCCTGTACAAACCAACTGAATCTCAAGGTCAGAAATCGCCAACCCGGGCAGTCACAGAGCCACAATAAAACCGATTTTAAAAGTTAATTGAGTTTCTGTCATAAATTAGAGAAATGGCTTTCAAATTTCACAGCTCACTTTGGGACAACACAAGAAAATGTGGCCTAAGAGATGGTTTTTATCAAGGCTCTAGAAAGGAGCAAGTAAAATCTGTCCCCTCTACAAACCTCTTCTGTTTTAGGTTCTCAATTAAGGAACACCTTTAAAGAAAGAAATTACAGAACAAGAGATGAAGTTCATGGAATCATGGTTTGGGCTGGAAAGCTTAAAGCTCTTCCTGTCCCATGGGCAGGGACACTTTTACTATCCCAGGCTGCTCCAAGCCCAGTCCAGCCTGGCCTTGGGCACTCCCAGGGATGGAGCAGCCATTTCCCCCCACCCTCCCAGCCAGGAATTCCTTCCCAGTGTCCCCGTGGCTCTTTGATTAAGCAAATTAAACCAACATAGATGTGATTGGGAAGCCTGGCTTGCCCCTGAGCTCCTACCTGAGTGATGGGTGACAGTGGGGACAGCGTGGGGGACATTTGCTGGGACTGAGGTCGCCGTGAGTCCGTGCCCAGGGACAGGGGGCTGACGCTGGGCTGGCGGTGCTGGGACGGGGCCGGCGTCGTCGTCATTCCTGCTGGGAACAAAAAACCCCTCAGCATGGCAGGGACAGGGCAGGGACAGGGCAGGGACACAACAGGGACAGGGCAGGGACAGAGCAGGGACAGAGCAGGGACAGGACAGGGACAGGGCAGGGACAGAGCAGGGACAGGACAGGGACAGGGCAGGGACACGACAGGGACAGGGCAGGGACAGGACAGGGACAGAGCAGGGACAGAGCAGGGACACAACAGGGACAGGGCAGGGACAGGACAGGGACAGGGCAGGGACAGGGCAGGGACAGAGCAGGGACAGGGCAGGGACACGGCAGGGACACAACAGGGACAGGGCAGGGACAGGACAGGGACAGGACAGGGACAGGGCAGGGACACAACAGGGACAGGGCAGGGACAGGGCAGGGACAGAGCAGGGACAGGGCAGGGACACGGCAGGGACACAACAGGGACAGGGCAGGGACAGGACAGGGACAGGACAGGGACAGGGCAGGGACACAACAGGGACAGGGCAGGGACAGGGCAGGGACAGGACAGGGACAGGGCAGGGACAGAGCAGGGACACAACAGGGACAGGGCAGGGACAGAGCAGGGACAGAGCAGGGACAGAGCAGGGACACAACAGGGACAGGGCAGGGACAGGACAGGGACAGGGCAGGGACAGGGCAGGGACAGAGCAGGGACAGAGCAGGGACAGAGCAGGGACACAACAGGGACAGGGCAGGGACAGGACAGGGACAGGGCAGGGACAGGGCAGGGACAGAGCAGGGACACAACAGGGACAGGGCAGGGACAGGACAGGGACAGGGCAGGGACAGGACAGGGACAGAGCAGGGACACAACAGGGACAGGGCAGGGACACGGCAGGGACACGGCAGGGACAGAGCAGAGACAGGACAGAGACAGGGCAGGGACAGGGCAGGGACAGGGCAGGGACACGGCAGGGACAGGGCAGGGACAGAGCAGGGACACGGCAGGGACAAGACAGGGACAGGGCAGGGACAGAGCAGGGACAGAGCAGGGACAGAGCAGGGACACAACAGGGACAGGGCAGGGACAGGACAGGGACAGGGCAGGGACAGGGCAGGGACAGAGCAGGGACAGGACAGGGACAGGGCAGGGACACAACAGGGACAGGGCAGGGACAGAGCAGGGACACAACAGGGACACGACAGGGACAGGGCAGGGACAGAGCAGGGACACAACAGGGACAGGGCAGGGACAGGGCAGGGACAGAGCAGGGACAGAGCAGGGACACGGCAGGGACACGACAGGGACAGGGCAGGGACAGAGCAGGGACAGAGCAGGGACAGAGCAGGGACAGGGCAGGGACACAACAGGGACAGGGCAGGGACAGGGCAGGGACACGGCAGGGCCCTGCTGAGCTCTGGACCCAAAGGAATTCCCCAAACCCAGAGCAAAGAGCGGCCCGAGCGAGCAGCACCGCAGGCGCCTCGGCCGATGGCGCGGGAGCTCGTTAGGTGATTTGTAATTAATTTGGTCGGGCTGAGGAGCATCAGGATGAGAGGAAGAGCCCTGTGGGCTGTCCTGGCTCAAGCCCAGGCACCCAGGTGGGTGGGGCTGGTGGCCAGGCTGAGGAATTGGAAGAGGCAGAGCAGCCTCAGCAGCTCAGACACCGCGGGCACTGCGCTCGCACGCCTGCACTCGGGCAGCCCAGCAAATGCAGGTTCTGCTCTGTTTGTGTGGGCTCAGGCTCTGGGGCTGAGATAACAAATCCTGGAACCAGCCTTATCAGAGGGCACTTGAGGTACTGTAAAAGCAAACGCCTCTTTAATGGAAAAAGCAGAAGCAGAACTGGTTATGCAGGAAGAGCCCCGTTTTTAATGGCACAGCAGGGCAGGAAATGTCCACCACAATGCCAGGAGCCACAGCCCGGCACGGGGTGAGGATAAACAGCCCAGATATCATCATTTTGTTCAGATCGAGCCAAAAATCTGGGAGTTTAGAACCCTCCCCTCTTTTCTGCTTCACCCCAGAGGAAATGAGGGAAGATCTGAGGCCAAGGCAGCGTGAGCAGGAGAACTCAGAGGAGCCCGCAGCTCCCGGGCACTGGCACGGGCTCAGCGCTGCCAGGAAGGCCAGGCTGCCAAGGAGGCAGCAGGACAAGGGGCTCGGGCAGGCAGGTGCCCAGGCAGGTGCCCAGCCCAGCACTGGCACCCCTGTGGGCGCCAAGGCGCTGGCACTGGCAGTGCTGTGTGCCCACGTCCCCTCGGGGTGCTGGGGCACCCCTGAGCAGGGCACAGGGGGCAGGAGCCTCAGGGAGCTTTCAGCAGCAAGGGAAGGGTGCGAAAATCAGTTTGGAAAGCACCCAGGGCTGAGGGGGCAGTGCATGAAGGGTGGGATCAGCTCCAGAGAGAAGCTGCAATGAAGTCAGTGAGGAAATTTGAATTTCTTCTGTCAAAGCAGTTTCACACTCACCAGTTTGGGTTTATATAATTTACTTTGCTAATTATGGGGGGGGAAATGTGGAGATCCACTGTGGCTGAAATCCTGATTTCTAAAGCCATCCCTGAAACTTTGGAGCCCAAAAACTCCTCCAAGGATGCTGAAAAGTGAAAAGGGGAAAGGGGGACTTGGCAGCTGAAAGTGCTGCCCCACTCTGTCCCCAGATGGTGAAATCCTTTAAAGGGTTAAATTCTCTTCTTGCTTCCCAAACTCACCTATTACAGTCATTTCCTTTTCCCAGTCCAGGAGAAGTGGGAAAGGGAATCCTGCCCAGCACAGGAAATAGATTTGTATTTTTGGCTACAACTCCTCATTACTATTCTAGGAATCAAGAGACTCGCAACTGTCATTGATCATTAAAAAAGAAAAAACAACAAACAACCCTCTTTGTTGACAAAAACATTCAAAAAATTAAAAATAAAATTAAAACCATTAAAAAAAATTAAAAATAAAAATTTTAAAATTTTAAAAATGAAAAAATAAATTAAAAAATAAAAAATTAATGTCAAAAATTAAAAATGAAAACATTTAAAAATTTTTAATCAAAAAATTTTAAAATGAAAACATTTATTAAATTTTTAAAAAAATGAAAAATAAAAAAGGCCCCAAATCCAATCCCCAAAAAGCACCAAGAAGAGCAGTTAAAGGTCCTGTGAGCACATAAATCCCCATTTTTTGCACACACAACCCAAAGGAGCAGTGAGCCAAACCCAAGGGGAAGCAGGGCACTGCTGGGGCCGCTCACCCTGGCTGGCAGCGCTGATGCCCAGGTGGGTCAGGTTGGCAGCCAGGTTGCCCGTGCTGCTGGAGCTGCTCAGGGCAGGGAAGGAGGACTCCTCGGGGTCCAGGGGCGTGGGCAGGGGCGAGGGGAAGTGGATGTTGGTCAGGTCTGGCAGCGAGCCGCCCGTGTTGTGCGTGCCAGGGATCAGGGCTGTAGTGTTCTCCTGCTCGGCCGACGGGAAGATGCTGCGTGCAGGGAAAACACAAATTCATTCATAGCTCAGTCTGCATAGAGCTCTCTAAAATGATTTCACAAGAAAAATTAATTAAGGTTTTTTTTAGCTTTTTAAAATTTACTTCATGAGAAAATTTCATTAGGATTTTTTTTGAGATTTTTAAAATGTATTTAACAATAAAATTTCATTAAGATTTTTTTGAGCTTTCTAAAATGTATTTAACCAGAAGATTTCATAAAGAACATTTTTTGAGATTTTTAAAATGTATTTAGCAAGAAAATTTCATTAAGAAGATTTTTTAAAGCTTTTTAAAATTTATTTCACAAGAAAATTTCATTAGGAAGACATCTCTCACCTTTTTAAATGTATTTAACGAGAACATTTTATTAAGACGTTTTTTGAGATTTTTAAAATGCATTCAGCAAGAAAATTTCATTAAGAAGATTTTTTAAAGCTTTTTAAAATTTATTTCACAAGAAAAATTCATAAAGAAGATTTTTTTGAGCATTTTAAAATGTATTTAACAGTTAAGAAAAGTTTTTGAGCTTTTTAAATATCTTTAACAAGAAATTCCATAAAGATATTATTAGTATTTCTGACCCTCAGAGGGTCTTGTTTTGTACCTAGAACCTTCCCAGAATATTCCAAAGCAATAGGACATTCAATCCACAGTTCTTCTTAAAGATCTCAGTGCCTTTAAAATAAAAAATTGCCGAGAACTTACTTGATTCCTGGAACTTCACAGGATTTAGGTCTCGATGACCCAGTCTGAAAGAGAAGGGAGAGAGATTTGAAGGCAAAGATGCTGCTGGAGGCTATTGCCTCAGAAATATTTCAATTATAAGTTCAATTTAATCATTTCTGTGTAAGATCTGGGAGCTCTTAGAAGATATTTATCATTTTTTTGCTTTATTCGTCCAAGAAATCTTAAATTTCAAAACTTTCTCCTCATATAACCCAGCCTGTGCATTCACAGCCACATAAAATGTTCTTTCTGCTCTAATATTTATTATTTGTTTTTAAATACAGCATTTAATCTCCAATCTCAAGTAGTTTATTAATAATGACAGTGACTAAAGCATTCATTTATCTAAATATGTTCAGAAAATAAAATTTCTACTCTTTGAAAGGTGCAATCCCCACCTTTTTAGTGTCCCAGCCTTGCTTAGAGAGGGTTTTGTCTGCATCAGAGGTGGGTTCTTCCATTCCAGGGACAGTCAGCAATAAAACTAAAAAGAGATGAAAAGGAATCATTAACAATCAATAATATTCATCTTATCAGTTTAACCTTTGGGAAAATCTTACGAAGTTTAAATTCTCGAGGAGGATGAAACAATAAAAAATTGCTGAGAACTTTTTGGATTGCTGGAACTCCCCAGGAAGTTTTAGAAGGTGTAGGTGTTTGTAAGTGTTTGTAGATGTTTGTTGGAGGGTTAAATTGAGGAGTTTTCTTTGGGATCAGGGATTTGAAGGCTGTTAAAGCCCTTTAGGATCTGCAATTCCCGATTTTCCTGAGTGGAGCAGGAGCAGGGCCCAGCAGAGGGCACCAGAGCTGAGGGTGCCGGAGCTGCTCCAGCCAGGAATTGTTCTGGGATCCTCTGGAATCTGCCTCCTTCCCCAGCCTGGAATTGCCCTGGGATCCTCTGGAATCTGCCTCCTCCTTTCCCAGCCTGGAATTGCCCTGGGATCCTCTGGAATCTGCCTCTCACCAGCCTGGAATTGCCCTGGGATCCTCTGGAATCTGCCTCCTCCTTTCCCAGCCAGGAATTGCCCTGGGATCCTCTGGAATCTGCCTCCTCCTTTCCCAGCCGGGAATTGCCCTGGGATCCTCTGGAATTTGCCTCTCACCAGCCTGGAATTGCCCTGGGATCCTCTGGAATCTGCCTCCTCCTTTCCCAGCCTGGAATTGCCCTGGGATCCTCTGGAATCTGCCTCCTCCTTCCCCAGCCTGGAATTGCCCTGGGATCCTCTGGAATCTGCCTCCTCCTCCTCCTTCCCCAGCCTGGAATTGCCCTGGGATCCTCTGGAATCTGCCTCCTCCTTTCCCAGCCTGGAATTGCCCTGGGATCCTCTGGAATCTGCCTCCTCCTCCTCCTTTCCCAGCCTGGAATTGCCCTGGGATCCTCTGGAATCTGCCTCTCCCAGGGATGCTCCTGGGGATCCCCCAGCCAGAATAAACTCGGGGTGCAGCCTCTGCTCCTTCCTTGCAGGTCCCTACTGAAATTCTGGGAATTCCACTCTGCCCCAGGAGCTCCTCCAGAGCCCCCCCAGCCCAGAGGATCCTCCTCAATTCTATCACTTGGGGCTCAGGAAAAACTTCTCCCTTTGTTTTGTGTCATTTTTCCTGGATTTCAGCAGCCAGAAAGGTGAATGTGATCCAACTGCTGTCACAGGGAGTGTCAGCACTCCTGAATTTTACAAACATGAGGCCCAATCTGTGGGGATTCCATCAGTACAAATATTTTTATCTCTTTTTTTTCTGCTCACCTCTTTTCTGCTGCATGTCCTGTGACCCTCCTGAAAAGGATTCCTGCTGAGCTGGAGTCATGGTGCTCTGGTGCAAGGCAGAATCAGAATTTGTCCTGAGAGAAAGCAAAACCCACAATATTTGTATTGTCAGCTTCACTAAATAAAAGAATTTCCGCTCAGATAAAAGCAACAACTCGGTAAAACCTCAATATTGTGCATTAAAACCCAAAACTCTCTATATGGCAGAAACCAGGCAGAATTTCCTGGTGAAACAATCAATTTGCAGAACAAATTAGTTCAAGTTTGAAGAGCAATAATGGGATTGAAAGGAACACAGGATAAATTGGTTGCCCTTGTTAGAACAGAGTTTTATCTGCTTTGTTCAGATTAAATATGATCAAATAATGCCATTTTTAAGCTGTTTAACCATGCTTTGGTTATTGTGGTGGTTAAAACAAACATTCCTGTTGGGAGGAGGAAAAGGAATGGCTCAGGATGTTGTGGAGATGGGAATTCTCATGGCCAACACATCTCAGGATGAACTTTGAGTGTGGCCACCCTCAAAGTGTAACTCTGTGTTCCTTCCCACTGGAACATTCCCAGCCCAGTTTCTGCACCCTGAGAAATATCCAAGTCTTGGGCTGTGCCTGTGAACATCTGGATTTTTAAAGATTTTCAAAGATTAAACTTTAAGGATTTACCTTTAAAAAGGTACCACTAAATCCAAGTATCACTTGCAGACACCTCAATTTTAAAGCTCATCTAAAACAAGCACTAGTGAATTCCAAAGTGAGTTTCTGAATGTCTAAAGGCACCATCCCCAGTGCTGCAGGGTCAGGATGGGGACACCCACCTCCTCCAGCTGGTGTCCGACGGCGGGGACAGGTACACGGTGCCATAGGGACAGCTGTCCACGTGGGCCGGGTCAAGGCAGCAACACTTCCACTCCAGCAGGAAACCTCAGCCCAAGAACCACCCCAATTACCCCGTCAGAACCACCAAACTCACAGATTCTCTGTGGGGAACGAGAGGGATGGGTGGTGTGGCACCCACAGGAGAGGAGCAGAAGGGATGGGTGGTGTGGCACCCACAGGAGAGGAGCAGAAGGGATGGGTGGTGTGGCACCCACAGGAGAGGAGCAGAAGGGATGGGTGGTGTGGCACCCACAGGGGAGGGAGCAGAAGGGATGGGTGGTGTGGCACCCACAGGAGAGGAGCAGAAGGGATGGGTGGTGTGGCACCCACAGGAGAGGAGCAGAAGGGATGGGTGGTGTGGCACCCACAGGAGAGGAGCAGAAGGGATGGGTGGTGTGGCACCCACAGGAGAGGAGCAGAAGGGATGGGTGGTGTGGCACCCACAGGAGAGGAGCAGAAGGGATGGGTGGTGTGGCACCCACAGGAGAGGAGCAGAAGGGATGGGTGGTGTGGCACCCACAGGGGAGGAGCAGAAGGGATGGGTGGTGTGGCACCCACAGGGGAGGGAGCAGAAGGGATGGGTGATGTGGCACCCACAGGGGAAGGAGCAGAAGGGATGGTGGTGGTGTGACATCCCCAGGGGATGGAGCAGAAAGCATGGATGGTGTGGCACCAACAGGTGAAGCAGCACAAGGCATTGGATGGTCTGGCACCCCCCAGGGATGCAGCAGGAGGAATGGGGTGGTGTGGCACCCCCAGGGGAAGGACAGAAGGCACTGGATGGTGTGACACCCCCAGGGGGTGGATGGAGCTGAAGGGATGGATGGTGTGACACCCCCAGGGGGTGGATGGAGCTGAAGGGATGTTGGGGTGGTGTGACACCCCCAGGGGATGGATGGAGCTGAAGGGATGGATGGTGTGACACCCCCAGGGGGTGGATGGAGCTGAAGGGGTGTTGGGGTGGCACCCAGGGATGCAGCAGGAGGCACGGCCGGGCACAGCCCTGTCCCCAAGGATATCTGGCGGCCGTGCTTGTCCACGGAGAGCGGGCGGCGGTGGGGCGAGCCCAGGCGGTTCCGGTCCCGGTACACTCTGTCCACCAGCCCGTGGTGCCGCGTGGTCCTGCTCGTGTCCAGGGCCGACGACTGGAACGGGGTCTGGGAGAGACACAGCCATTACCCCAGGGAACAGCCCCGCCTGCCCAGAGCCTCCTCCTCCTGCTGCTGCTGTGCCAGGCTGGCTCGCTCTGAGCAGTCCCACTCCGACACCAGGCGCACGTTGTGTTGCTGTTTCTCCTCCACAGCTTTTTGGGAAAGCTGCCTCCTCCAGAAGGGCCATGCTGGAGCGCCCTGGCCCGGCCCAGCACTGCCCTCGCAGCCTGGCACCCCTGAAGCCCCGGGCTGAGCGCGGCAGAGCTGCCAGGCGCCGGCCACATGCCCCTGGTGCAGCATGCAGGGTGGAACATGCCAGAGCCTGACCCGGGCCAGGAGATGCGGGAGGAGCTGCACGCTGAGCTCAGCATTCCCCAGGACACGCTGCCTGCTCCCAGGCTGCCTCTCACCCCTCCTTGCAGCACATTTATGTGAAGGGGACACTGAGAGAACGAAAAGGAAAAGAAAAGCAGTTTCCTTCCTCCTCTGTCGGATGGCTTTGAAGTGATTTTCAGCTCCTTCGGTGACCCGAGGTGGGATGATCCCACCTGGACTCTTATCTCACTGACATCCTGAGCAGATGATTTCAGAGCAGGAGGATGGCAGGGGAAGGACAGGGAAGATGAATTCCCAGGCTGAGCTGGAAAACTCTCACATTTTCCACAGCCCTTCCCAGTGCGTACCGGGGGGACGGAGGAAGCACCGAGGGGTCAATCTCTGCTCGTACTCCAGCAGCAATTTATGGCTCTCCAGGGAGAGAAATCCTCCCCAGCCCTGCACTCCCTGCCAATGTGAACAGCTTTGCTGAGTCCCTCAACACCATCTGTTTGGAAATCCAAAATTTCCTCCTCCATTCAGGTGCTGCACGTGGCAAATGCACTGTCCTGTCTGCCAAGCCATGAAACCATCTGGCTCCCACATTCATCCCTTTTTCTTTGGCTTTTCTGCTTTTCTTTTTTTTCCAAGTGTCAGCTTTGGCTGTTGAAAAGATTATTTCTATAAAGCTTTGCATTTATTTTGAAAGGCTTTGTTTGTATGAACTTTTTAAAGAGTCTTTCTACTATTTTAAACCCTTTTCTCTTCAGCAAATATTGGGCTCCTCACCCTCTCTGCACACACAGGCTGTGTTAACAGAGCTGCAGAGGGGCTGTGGTGTTTATTTTCTCATTTCAGGGCCAACATTTTATATGCAGCAGAATATTTAAGGCAACAGGGGACTAGAAAGGAGCTCAGTGACTTTTTACAGGACTCTCAGCACTTCGGATCGTGGGGTTTGTGCTTCACTTCCTCACTTGGCTGAGAAATCTCAAACAGAATCTCAATTTTAAGGGGTTTAAATTCAAACACGGTGCTTTAATCTCTGCTGCGAGCACTGAGCAACAATCCCCACACACAAGTGGGAATATTCATCATTCCAAAGTGACAAAAGGTCTCAAACTCCTCCTTTTAGCTGTTGTTACAGCCCAAAAGGCAGCAAAACTTGCAAATACGTGCTTGGAAGGTCAACAGGAAAAGCAATTTCCTATGTCAGTGGTGTCAGCACAGTGCTGCTAAAAAAGGAGCAGCCAGCCCTGAGCACAGGGCTCACCTGGAATTTAAAGGGAGGCCAAGGCAGAAAATTAGAAAGACAAAAAGCTCCATGTAAAAACAGCTATTTCTTAGGGTTTTACCTTTTACTGGCACAATTTCCTTATCAAAAACACAACAAAAATCTCATCTGAGTGCAGCAGTGGCACAAACAAACACAGAACGTGTCCCAGATCAGGGCTACAGCTCACAGAAAGAGGGATTTGGGGGCAATGCTGTTCCCTGGCTTTCCAGGAACCAGGATCCCAAAAGAATCCTGAATTCAGGGGAACAGAAAACACCTGAGGAAATGGATATCACCTCCAGCAGGTCTGGCTGCTCTCTGCAACCTTCCTATGAAATTTCTTTAGGGCCAAACACCAGGACAGTGTTCCTGGATTAAAACTCCCCATCTCTGCATGGCATGAGATATTTAACTCTAGGGAGAAAAACTGATTAAAAATAATGAATAGATCTGAGCACTGATTGTATTTGGGAAAATGAAGAACTACAAGGGTTTCACTCCCCTGAAGAACATTCAAGGGCTTGAGAGCAGACCCCAAAGCCCCCAAACCATGGGAAAAGCAGCTCAATGCAGACAGGAAGGAAAAAGCTCCGTGCTCTCCAAGCGTCCTTTCAGGATTTGTCAGGAAATGAACCCAGTGAGGGGGATGAGGGGGAAGGAGGAGTGGTACCTACTGCTGGGTGATGCTTTGGTGCCTCCTGGTGCCAAGCAGGATTTGGGAATTCATTCTGCCCTTCCCCACGATTTAAACATGCAGGCTGAGTGCACATGCTCAGAGATTGCTGAAACCACAGGCCAAGACTGGATAATCCCCTGGCTGCACCAAAGAAACCCCCAAGAACCAGAAAGAACCACACGACAGCGAGTGCAGGGAGCCTGCACAGGAATTATCTGCAGGTTCCCGACTGGGATGCAGGGCACAGCCTGGCTTTGTGGGGCAGCCCTGGGGTGAAGCAGTAACTCCTGTGCAGGGCACAGCTGTGCACAAATACGTATCCACCTGGGCTAAGGGACCAGTCCTAAATACGTATTTGCACAAACCTAAAAACTTGTTTACCAAAGAGACAGGAACTGCTCCAAAGGCTTCAGCCAGAGCTCCGTTGTGCTGCAAATCAAAGAGGCAGAAGATGCTCAGACACCAACGCTCCCAGCAGGCACAAGCACCCAGGCTCTGCCTTCACACCATCCCAGAGACGTTCGCAGTCGCGCTCTCAGCCTCAGACTGGAAAAACCTGGAAAGCTTTTCCCCCTGCTACAAACACATGGCCTTGTTTTGTTGTTTGTCACCATTTGTTATCTGGAACAACATCAATTTGGGTTTTTTTTTAGTGTGTGTGTGTGTGAAAGAATATAGAAAACCCTAGGGTGTAAGGATAGTTCGTTTCTGTCTCCTCCTCCAGTCATTCATAAATGTTTGAATATTCCCTTTTCAGCAGTCAGGATTAAAACAGTCCAGGTAAAAACCACCAGTGATGGCCATCAAGCACAGAAATACTGAAATATTGTGGTTTAACAGGAATTCTTAACCCCCCTAACAAAAAGCTGAAGAGAAAAGCTTGAACAGAGCAGACACTGTGGAGTAACACTGGGGACTCCAATCCACTACAAACCTCTGCCCTGCATTCCCCAAAGAATTAAAGATTAAAATAGACTTTTGCCTCTCCTCCTGCATGAGATTCAAGCTTTTAACCTGCCCAAATCCAGCTGTCTGCACCTATTTCAAGCAGCAGTTAGAGGAGGTCAGCAAGAGTTTCTCCATCTTTATTAAGCAGCCTTCATCAGAAAACCACAAACTGCAAAATTTCCTTCCCACCACATCCTCGTGAGCTCAACTGTAACTCTGACTGCTCAAAAAAGGAAAGCCAATGCAGAAATGTTCATTATTTTGAGCTCTCTAAATCAACTAAACGTGGAAATCAGGAGTCCACAAAGGATCCACCAGCTAATCCTGTCCTTGGACAACATCCTCTGTCCAAACATGCTTCAAACAGCAAGATATTCACCTGAAACTCTGATTTTGTCTAAGGTGCATCATTCCTGGAGTCACAAAACCCAGCCAGGACTTTCTTACATTTCCTTTCCAAAAAGAAGTGATAATTCTGATACCACTTTGTGTCCCACTGCTCTCCTCCTCTCCCAGGATTCCTCCCACAGAACATGCACATCAGTTCCTCCACCCCAACATCATCTTTATTTCCTCCCATTTTGCTTTGAATTTTCAGCATCTTCCCAGACTCCATCAGGAATTGCATCTCTCAGAGAACTAAAATCTACCACAATCAACATAAAAAATACCCCCAGATCCCAACCCAGCAGGAGTTTTCAAAGCAGGGTGTGACTTCTGGAGCAGCAGCTGCCTGGGGGACACAGCAGCATCCCAGCCCAGAACTCCTCACCAAGCCCAAGGAAAAAGCCTCAAACTCACCTGGAAGGGGAGATCCATGGCACTGTTCCCAATCTGATTCACATTTGGCAATGACCCCCCGTAGTACTGGCCACGACTCTGCCCCAGTTGCAAATATTGGGTTTTCTGCAGCTGTAGCTGAGAGAAAAGAAGGAGGAAAACACAATTTCAACAGTTATAACCAGCACACTGCGATCACTGAGAATGGAGATCATTAAAGGGCATCAATCCAACTTTCACAAAGGAGGGTCGACCTTCCCCACACGTTTCTTGCAGCAGGAAAAGCCCTGGAGAAAGGGCAGGGAGGGATTTCCAGGGAAAGGCAGAGCCAGGTTCTCAAACAAAGCACAGAGAGCATTTCACAGAGAACCCCTCCAGCCAAGGAACACCCAAAGCACCACCAGGAATTCCCTGCGGCACAGGCACACATGGAGGGCCTGCAGAGCTTCACTGGACTGCAGGAACCACCCTGCAGTAACGTGGTCCGGGGGTTTGCCCAGGGCTGGAGACACTGCTGGGTGTTCAGCTGGGGTGCTGAGGGTGCTCAGGGTGTTCAGGGGTGCTCAGGGATTCTCAAGGATGCTCAGGGATGCTCAGGAGTGCTCAGGGTGCTCAGGGATGTACAGGGATGTTCAGGGATGTTCAGGGGAGCTCAGAGATGTTCAGGGGAGCTCAGGGATGCTCAAGGATGTTCAGGGGTGTTCAGGAGTACTCAAGGATGTTCAGGGATGCTAAGGAATGCTCAGGGATGCTCAGGGATGTTCAGGGATGCTCAGGGATGCTCAGGCGTGCTCAGGGATGTTCAGGGTTCTCAAGGATGTTCAGGGGTGCTCCAGGTGCCCACAGCACAGTGCCAGCACCCAGACAGGATGCAGAGAAAAGGCCCAGCCCGTTTGCTCCATGCCAACACTCTGGGCAGTGTCCATGCAGGATCACACAACTCCAGAATGGTTTGGGTTGGAGGGACCTCAGGGATCACCTCACCCCAGCCCTGCCATGGCAGGGACACCTCCCAGCACCCCAGGCTGCTCCAGCCCGGCTCTGGGCACTGCCAGGGATCCAGGGGCACCTCAGCTGGGCTGGGAATCCCATCCCAGAGCCTGCCACCCTCCCAGGGAGGAATTTCATATTAAAACAGTCCCTGAGTACAAGCTCACCCTGAGCACGCATCTTCCTGACATTCAAACAATTCCTAGAAAACTCAAAGACTTTTTATTCACAGAATCTCCCCCAGAAACCAGCAATTTCCAACTGCACAGACAGTTAAAATCCCTGTGCCTGAGCTGAGGGACCAAACTAATCCCTGGTTCAGGAGCTGACTCTGGACATGACACCTCTCCAAGGAGCACAGAACCCCGGGATCACTGAGGTGGGCAAACAGCCCCAGGGCTGTGCCCAGCCTTTGCCAGGGTGTCCCAAACCCTCAGCACCACCCACAAAGTGCTTTAGGGCTTTTCCCTTAAAGAAAAAGGCAGATAATCCCCTCGGGCTGAAGATTTATAACATATCCCCAGTTCTCCCTATCAAATGGCTCGGAAAGGTCCCCTGGAAGGAGCAGGAAAGGCCCCTTTGCCTTTCTTGTGCAGTATTTTGCCACGCAATTCCTGAAGCAAGACATGAAATGAGAGAAAGCCTGTGTTAGTATCACTTAATGAGTCACAGCCCCTCCAACTCAGAGCACAAAAAGCACAATATCAGAACTAGCTGTGCTTTTTCCCTGGCCCCTGCATATGTTTTTGTTGTTAAAGAAAAAAAACCCCTTGTTTGGGATTTGGGCCAAACATCGAAGTAACTATTTCAACAGGTGTTGGTTTCCTTTCAAGAACCTCCAAAAGGCACCCGGGGAGGAGGGGGCGGCTCTGTGTTTTTTTAGGATTTGGGGTTTTTTTCTCAGGCTATTCCCACCTCAAAGCAGCACAGCACAGGGAGGTCAGCAGCATTTGTCTTTCTGCTGCACTTCATGGAAATGAGGCGACCCCAGGGCCGGGGAGCCTCGGCTGCAGCGTGAATTGGACGAGGATAAGCGGGGCTGGAGATGCGTGCCAGAAACGAGAGCAGGGGCTGCTGCTCCCATCCATCAGCACGGGAGAGCTGCTGGGCCTGCTCGGCCCTGCTCGGCCCAGCTCGGCCCTGCTCGGCCCTGCTCGGCCCAGCTCGGCCCTGCTCGGCCTGCTCGGCCCAGCTTGGCCTGCTCGGCCTGCTCGGCCTGCTCGGCCCAGCTCGGCCCTGCTCGGCCCAGCTCGGCCGTGCTCAGCCGTGCTCGGCCTGCTCGGCCCAGCTCGGCCCAGCTCGGCCCAGCTCGGCCTGCTCGGCCCTGCTCGGCCCAGCTCGGCCCTGCTCGGCCTGCTCGGCCTGCTCGGCCCAGCTCGGCCCTGCTCGGCCCAGCTCGGCCCTGCTTGGCCCAGCTCGGCCCAGCTCGGCCCTGCTCGGCCTGCTCGGCCTGCTCGGCCCAGCTCGGCCCTGCTCGGCCCAGCTCGGCCCTGCTCGGCCCTGCTCGGCCCTGCTCGGCCCTGCTCGGCCCAGCTCGGCCCAGCTCCTGCCTCGCAGGGGAGCAGGGCCCAGAGCGGCCCCCAGGCCCTGCTCTCACCGAGCCCATCAACAGCTGCCACTCCCAATCTGGGCAGATCAAGAGCAAGCAGAGCAGGATTTGTGTCCCGAGCGCTCCCAGCCCCGGCTCCTCAGCTGGAGCTGAACTTGGTTTGGATCTGAGCACTCTGCTGTCACTGCAGCAGGAAATCACGACTGAAGTCAGCTCCTTTCCCTTCTCTCCAAACAAAAGGCTGCTAATTTCTCTGAGATACCTCAGTGCACAGAGGGAAGCAGCAGCAAAATCCAGAATAAAAGTTTGGGAAGGGACCTTTAATATTATTTAATTCCAGCCCAGCTCCGGCTCCTCAGCTGGAGCTGAAGTTGGTTTGGATCTGAGCACTCTGCTGTCACTGCAGCAGGAAATCACGACTGAAGTCAGCTCCTTTCCCTTCTCTCCAAACAAAAGGCTGCTAATTTCTCTGAGATACCTCAGTGCACAGAGGGAAGCAGCAGCAAAATCCAGAATACAAGTCTGAGAAGGGACATTAAATATGATTTAATTCCACCCCACTCCTTCCTCTATCCCAGGCTGCTCCAGGCTGGCCCTGGACACTTCAGGGATGGGAAATCCACAATTTCTGTGGGCAGGCTGTGCCAGGGCCTCCCCACCCTTCAGGAAAACAGATGCTGAGGCTAAACTGAAATTATTTCATTTTCCTCTCCATCCACCGTGCGAGGTGCAGCAGGTACATGGCACAACTGGGGATGAGGCTTTGAGAGAGGTTTGGTTTTAAAAGAAAATAACAAAAAGGAAAAGCCTTTTCGTAACAGAAAAATTCCAATTACTCTGGAAATGTTAACAAGTCTCAGGGCAGCCCCAGGGTTATCTCCTGGGGTTGGATTCAATTAGTGCAATTTGGATTCTGGATGAATTCAGACAGGGGAGGATGATAAGGAATTACTGAGGGCTCACCAGATTTATTAATTTCACGAACCACGAGAACTCGGTGACTCCACTCTGCAGCTTCTCCATTTCTCTGTGCTGTGGCCAAGAGCAGCTCCCTGACAGCTGAAATATTGTTAAATATCCCAGCTCCTTCCCAAGGAAGCTTTAGCTAAGGAAACAGCTTTTGCTTGTTGAACCACTTCATTTCTACTCGGTTTTCTTGTTCTGAAGAAATGCTCCCCAAACACCAGATCCAAATGGAATCTGTAATTTTCCTTCCACCAGCCTTTCTCTTACTCCACTTAACTTTAAATTCTCATTTTTTTTCTTTAAAATCCAATGCAGTAATGAAAAATCACCATTTCTGTGAACATTTATATGAAATACATCAACTTTTCCTTTGGGGTTACCATTGGCTGGACACCCCGCTGTGTTTGTAGGGAGAGATCCGAGTTCTACAAATAAAAAAACAATAAATAAAGAGAGAAACAAATCCTAAATACAAATCCAGTTTCCTACAGATTTTCTAATATGCAGGTGGGAATTAAACGAAGCATTTATTAAGAATTCAATACCTGAAGTTATTGAAACTGTGTAAGTTACAAGTTGAGGGCAGAACTTACTGGGCAGTTTGGCAGTTCTGGCACTGTAGCACAACCCAAATCCACAGTAGAGGTTTTTCTCCAAGTGCCTTTTTTAGCAGCTGCAGTTGGAGTGCCAGCACCACAACGACAGGGTGGGGTGTCCGTTTGATAAAGCCCCAGATATCTGATGAGTGCAGGAAGCAGAGATTTGCTGATAACAGCTTGTGCGCTGCCTTCCACACCGAGCTTTCTTACAATTTCATGTTTCACCCTTTAAAAAAACCCTTCCTCTTTAGCACCTCCAGCCTAACGAGCAGCAAAATCAGCGCAGATTAAAATTAGAAAAGCATTATTGAAGCTTAATTGGGCCCCCAGCTCTGCAGGCAGGGTTTGGTGGGAGTTTTGCATTGTTGGGAAACCCCCTCATGCCAAGCTGAGTGTGGTGCTGCCACCAGCTAAAATCACCTCTTTCATTAACCCTTAATTATTTTTAAAGTTCTTTAAGGTGCCAAAACCTCTCCAAACACCCAGACTTTGGCTTCTCAAGGGAACATTTTTCTGTTAACACTCCAAAATCCACACTAAAATCTGAGTTTTAAAAACTCAACACTTGCTACTCAAATAATTACTGAAATTAATACATGCAAACAACTGCTCATTGATGAACCCACCCTCCCTGAAAAGTGCCTGGGATTTCTTTAATGAAATGAGGAAAGAACCACAAATGGAAAAGGGAAAATCCTGGTCAAGCAAGGAAAAGGGAATTTCTGTTCATTCTGTTCATTCCAGCAGCTGCTGGTGCCTCTCCACATCCCCAAGCTGAAAATGAAAACGAACAATGAGCAGACACCAAGTTCTGAGCACAGAACAAGTTTCAGAGGATTTGGTTTCAGGTCCCAAAGTGTTCCCATCTCAGGGATCCTCCTGGAAAATGGGAATAATCCAGCAGGGAATTCTGGAGAGGCTCCCCTGGGACTCCTCAGTGCTTCCCTGCACCTTTCACTCTCCCATAGAAACTCAGGGTTTGCGTGGAGCTGCAAGCCTGGAGCAGTCCAGGGAAAATGGGGATAATTAAAGAT